TTGTGATCTGTGGGTGTGGAGGGCCCCGCAGCGGGGAACACCTTCCCTGGAGACCTGGGGCTTTGTTTGGAGCCTCCAGCGGAAACATGGAGACAGATGGAGGCGGCGGCCGAGCCTCCTTCCAGGTTCGCCCCGGTTCCCACGGCTCCCCGGGCGCGCGCGCACGGCCGGGAACCGGACACCGCGGCAATACCTGTGTTCTTCGACTGCAAAAGCAAACAAGGCTGAATGTACTGTTCAAAAAATGTATTTTACAGAGTTTTTTTTTTTGTTTGCTTATTAAAGCCATGTGTGTGTTTTTAAAAATCACCCACACGAAGATAGTTTTGACTTAAAGCTTACAAAGCTATTTTTAAAACAATTTCCTACTGTTAAAAATAACATGTAATAGTCTTGTGTCTCGTTTTAAAGGGTTACAGAAAATGAAAGTGTAGAGCCACAGTCAAGCGGGGTGTTCAGAGGTTAACCTTAAGGAAAAGGGTTTCAGCCGCTGGAAACCGGTGTTCATTCTCCACGCCTCCATGTCTTAGGCTCCAGCTGGATCCTAAACGATATGTGTTTTCTCTTTGTTAAAGGACTTGCACGTGATTTAGAAATGTACCTGGTGTATAGGGCTCTGCTAAGTGGGGTTTCATAAAGGGATGATTTAGATGATAATCCAGCAGGATACGTGCGGAAGGAGGACCGCTGCAGCCTGCGGGTCGGGGGGCTCGCGCGAGGGGCCCAGAGCTGGGGCACGCAGGTGATTGTCATGCCCTGTTTATCCATTTCGTTTGTGGTTGGGCACGTGGCAGGTAGACAGCATGCTGAGCCTCTTCTACTTAAACCACCCAGAGCTAGCCCAAGTCACTGAGGCAGCTTTCAGTTCAAATTGGTTATGTTAATAAAGCTTTTCTAAGACATAATTTTGAGGTTTTGTTTTGATCTCCAGCATAACAGAGCAAGTAATTCCCTCGTCGTGAGATTTCCTGGCAAAGGAAGGTAACTGCCAAGCTAACAGGGCACCTGGCCCCCTTTAGAGTTAAATATCAAATTCCTTTCCTCAAAGGAGGGAAATCACCCTTTATCCTCAAATGATATAACAGGCAGGCCAGTTTAAATACAGTTGGAGAGAGAGAGGTAAATAAGCATAGTTTTTACTTTAGCAATTTCATGTTTTTACTTCAGTTTGGCAATAATTGTTTAAAAAGTGATTGTAACTGCCGGGACCAGTGTGACTCAGTTGATTGGGCGTTGTCCCGTGCGCCAAATGGTGGTAGCCTGTTTCATTCCTGGTCAGGGCGCAGGCCTGGTTTCCGGCTTGATCCCTGGTGGGGGGCGTGCAAGAGGCAGCCGTTCACATTGATGTTTCTCTCTCAATGTCCCTCTCCATTCCTCTCTAAAAATCAATAATATATATATTTCAAAGTGATTCTAACTGAAGCAGAGCAGAATTCTGGACAGGTCTTCGTATTTTCTACAGCACATTTTATGATATAAATTAGAATGTATTTATTTTTGCTCAAAGAGCAGTGGGCAGTTTAACCTTTTGCCTGAGATGAGAAATAATAAAAGGGAGGGGGGAAGAGAGAGAGGAAGGAACAGGACTGGGAGGGAAGGGGAGGGAGTGTGCACGCAAGTGTGTGCGTGTCTGTGTGGTTGGGCACATGGCAGGTAGCATGCCCGAGCCTCTTCTATTTAAACCACCCAGAGCTAGCAGTAAATTGAACTTCGTTGTAGTCAATTCCAGCCTTTTCTTTCAACATTGCAAACTTGTTGCTTATAATCCATTATAATCTTATGAAACCACCATCTTGTATATGTGGTCCACTGTTGATCAAAACATTGTTATATGGTGCACTACTCTACGCTATAGAGTATCGGTTGTTTGCCTTTGTGATCCTGTGGGTGAAGGAGAGATGCAGCTCTAGGTCACTGCCCAGCATCACGAGAGATTATCTATCACATATTACTAGCCCAGGAAAATATCAAAATTCAAAATTTGAAGTGTGGTTTCTACTGAATGCTTATCACATTTGCACCATCATTAAGTCGAACCATTGTAAGTCAGGGGACATCTATACAGTCTTTGGTAAAGAATGGAAGGCAACTCATCTGACAGAAGTAGTTCTTAAGGAAATAGGTATTTTATAGAAGGGAATATAAATTATAGTCTATGAGTCAGAGTTCAGTTGCAGATAACAGAATTCACACTAGCTAGTTAAAGCAAGAAGAGGTTTATTTCAGAACATTTCGTTGATTCATAAGTGTAGGAAAGATTGAGGAAATAGACTACAGTTTGTGCTATCAGTAAGACTTCAGAGTCACACAGCAGGACCCAAGCACTCTGGGAGGGGCTGCGTCTCCTGTGAACTGGAAGCACACTGTCTCTCACAACCTGGAAACTGCCATGATTAGGATTCTATTGCTGCCAACTCCCAGAACCACGCCACAACTGCTAGGATCCATACCAACGAAATGTACCTGTACCCTGCCTCTTGGCACCCGTGACTCTAGTGGTAGACACTAGCTCCATACTAAGACTGCTTCCAAAACCCAAGTACATTCACATCCAATGCTTGCCAGCAAAAACAGCAGCCATATAGCTCCTGCTTCACTTCCTTTTCTCACATCTCATGTAAGTACTGATTGGTTGAACTTAAATTGCAGTCAGAAACTTAGCTGCAAGGGAGTCTGTGATATGTGCGCTTTTGCTTTCCCCTGCAGTTTAGGAAGACACACCAGAAGGAGATGTTGAGTGATACCCACATAATGACCACAGTTATTTAGGCCAACTCCATCTAAATGGAAAAAAGAGATAATTTGTGAATGAAAACAGAGAATCTTTCCTCTTAAGGAGTTCTTTACCTGAGATCCACAAACTCCTGTCCATAGGTAAAATTTAGAGGGTCCTTAGACATGGCTGGGAATAAGTTATATATCTATTTTCACTAACCTCTAACTGAAATTTAGCATTCCTTTAAATTATCAGTGTAGGAAAGACATTTCAATACCATTAACGTACAGTACCTGTGACTTTGTCATAATAGAATTCACAAATATTTTTACACCATACTATAGTTATCTTAAAATACCATCCTCATCACTAATAGACTTTATACTAGATCTTATTATTTAATGCATTGATAATGAGGTGCATGATATTACTGCATCACAAATATGGTTGGTTTTTTAAAATTCTAATAATAACTAATTTGACATAATTAAGTTCATTCATAATTTGATGGGTTTTTATTTTATAAATTTAAAAACATTCTGAGAAGGGATCCATAGACTTCACCAGACTGCCAAAAAGAGCATGCGAGGGAGAGATTTTTCTGATGTTATCTCGATTTTGCCTTGGACTAATAAATCCTGTCCTTTAAAATCAAACTGCATTTTAAGGATTCAGTGATAGCAAAGTGTACCATGAACAGTTCTATCTACTAGTGTTAGTTTGCTAGGACTGCTATAACAAAGTACCAAAACTTGGGTGGCTCAAAACAGCAGAAATATATTCTTTTATAGTTCTACATGCTAGAAGTCTGAAATCTAGGTGTTGGCAGGGCCATACTCTTGCTGCTACCTGTAGGTTTCCTTCTTTGCCTCCTCCTAGAGTTTGGTGGTTTTCCAGCATTCTCTGGCGTTCCTTGCCTTGTAGATGCATCACTTCAATCCTCTGTCTTCACATAGCATCCTTCCTGTATCTCTTCATATTGTCTTGCTTCTGTGCATGTCTGAGTCTGTATCCAAACATCCCCTTTTTATAAAGACACTGATCATGTTGGGCTCACACTAATAACCTCAATTTGGTTAAATCTGCAAAGACTCTTATTCCTAATAAGGTCACATTCTAAGATGCTGGGAGTTAGAACTTCAACTTATCTTCTTTTGAGAAACACAATTCAACTCATATTATCGATAACATCAGTTATACAGTGTTCTAATTTGCAACTGGATAAAAGAATTTAGAATAAATTCAAGTATATATTAGATGATAAATATTGAAGCCCATACAAATAATCAGTTATCATATCCAGGGGTTTTAGAAATGCATAATTTCACATTTTTTTTGTTTCTAAAAATTAATAGGTGACGGGGAAATGGCAACTCTGAACAGATTTTTTTTAAATTATAAACTTAGAGAAAGTATTTTACAAAAAGACATGTGTGTTCATTTCATCTGAATTCTCCCTGATCATTAGAAATGTCTGATGAACTAAATTAAAATCCCCAAGGCTGGGATCCAGAAATGTGTATTGATAGAAACTTCTCATTAATTATCAGACATGTCTAAGAATGACAGTTACCAGTCTAAATTTTGCAAAATAGTTTATTCATAAATGAAGCATACAGAGATTAATATGGAAAGAAATTACACATTAACTAGGGATTGGTATTTTTAAAACTGCCAAATTGTAGTAAAATCAGAAACCTCAATTGAAATCATAAATGAGTTTAAATCAATTTGAGTATTTCTTAATCAAAGCTTTTTTTTTCCTGTCAATGTGTCACAAATTTTAATGGCTGTTAACATTTTCAAACATATGAAAGATTGTTTTCTTAGTTAAACTTATCTTAAAGTATCAGATGTATACTACATATGACATTCATTATTTTTGTTTATTTCAAATTATTTTTAAAAATTATTGTGATTTTTATCATGCAGAGATTGGTGATTAGGGTGAAGGAAGCTGGAGCACCAGATATATACCAAAGGCTATAATAAGATGAGTAATGCCCTCACACAAAAATAATGTAGAAACTAACCACATGTGACCACTATTTAGTGACACCCTACTTGGTCTTAGGCAATGATCTAGATCACTGGGGACCTCAAAAAAGCCATGTTCTACCCTCATGGTGCTTACAGTCTAGTAAACAAGCCAGTGGCTAATTACCACATGGGTAGTGGTAAGAAGAGTTGTGATAAAAGAACACTTAGTACCATAGAACATACAGAAGGAGCTCTGGCACTGAGCATTCCAGCCAAGATCTGAGAATAATTATAAATTGGTGAGATGGTATATGAAGAGGAGGAAGAAGAATGTTCTAGGCAGAGAGAAGAGCATATGCATAGGCCTGAAGACGCAGGTGCGTGGTTCCTTGGAAGAACTGGAAGAGTTCGTTGTAGCTGGAACATAGAAAGTAAGGAAAAATAAGAGAATGACATGTAGAAAGATGAATCTGCAGTCTACTTGATACCAAGAGAAGCCACAAGAGGCTAATACTCAAGTGAGGGTTTTTAGGGAGGTGTTCAAATCATTAAGAAAATGAAAAGATAGATTTTGGTTGAGTTTTTCAAGAAAAAAGAGAGTAGTTGACTAGGTCCAATTTTGCCTCATTATTGTTTTTCGAAATGAAGGCATTCCAGAACTTGAATCAAAGACAGGCAGGGAAGCCCAGAGAATACAGTGCAAGAAGGGTACAGCCTGGCAGGAGCATGGGTTTGGGAGCAGGAGCTCTCAAATAAAACATTGGGGAGGGGGGCACAAAGGTGGGGAAGGGACAGTTTGGTATTTAGTACTCCCAAGTCCAAGGATGGTAAACTTGCAACCTGCAGACCCTTCAAGAAGAATTGGCCGCTCATGATTTTTCCTATCACAAATGCCAGTAGAAACCTCCACTGGAAAACAGTGATGGATCACTAGTGAGAGGGATTCATCTTACTTATCTCTGTCCTCTTTTGAAAATGTGAATCTCTCTTCAGTTGAGTAAGCCTCAATACACATTCATTTATTCAACAAATAGTTTTGAGCACCTGCTCCGTGCCAGATGCTTTTTAGGTCTTACATCAAAATCACACCGTTATGTAAATTACTTTCATCAGCCAAGCAGGTGCTGCCTGGCTAACTGGGCAATGAAAGGGCAGATTTGCATGGAGACGAGAGGAGAGGAGGAGAGGAGAAGAGAGTTCAGATTTCCCCTATTCTAAAATACCTCCGTCTCGTTATTTCAAGTTCCCAACCATGCAGACTAAAACAATAAACTTAAAATAGTTTGTACCCACTCCCTCCTTAGAGATCCAATTTCCTTAGACTCCAAAAGTACTCAGAAATTGGGCAAGGGCCTAACTCAGCCACCATCGTCTTGAACACTGTCAATTATCTCTTCTTTCAAACACCTTCTGCCTTTGCTCCCACAGTATTCTGCTGGGGCTCTTTTACCCTCGAGGATTCTGCAGTGGTCCTCACCCTTTTTTCTGACCACATATGACATTACACCATTTTTGTTCATTTCAAATTATTTTTAAAATTTATTGAGATTTTTATCATATGCAAAGCTTGGCAATTAGAGTGAAGGAAGCTTTAACTCCAGGACTTATACCATCATCTAATGGTAACATGAGTAAAGCCCACAAGAAAATAAAGCACAGGAGGGGGGTATGCTGTGCACACATCACCAGGAGACACATCAGGTATGTGTGTGAGGCGACAGTAGTTGCTGAGAGGGTGCTGCCCTTAAGATAGTGTGCGTGCAACCCTTGCGTATCTTTGGGCCATAGTGCCCTCCTCTGTACTGTACAGTCTCTCTCCTCCCTACTCAGAGGATATCCCCAGCATCTGAGCTTCACATTTCTACAATCTGTGCTCTGAGAATCGCGTCCTTCTAGCCACTCAGACTTCAAATTGTGTGCCCTGTGACTCCTTCTGTCTTCTACATACGGGGCATGGCCAAGCGCTGGATTTAGCCCCATAAAGACTTGCCTCCACCCACCCATCCTGGTGCCAGTACTCTATTGCCATCCTCATTATTTCTCTGGCTTATTACTATCTTCTGCCTTTCATCTTACCCAGCACTGCCAGAAAGTCTTTCTAAAGGTCTAGTGCTCTGAAGGTCTAGCATTCCCAATCAGAAGCTGGCAATAACTCCCCCACTCCTTATAGGATCAGTGAAGATCCCTAGCCCAACCTTTTTGTCTTTATTTTTATTTGCCACCATCACATAGTCTAGGTACCAAACTGCACACTTCTTGATCTTTGCCCTCAGTGTCCAAGTTCTGGCGCTTGCTGCCTTTGAAGCGGATCCTTTCCTTCCACCTCCCGCTTGCATAGACGGAGATCCTGCTCTCCTAAGTCAAGCCCATTGCCACCTCCTGCCCTAAACCTCTCCTCATTTCCCTGGCAGGAAGTAACGTCTGCCAATTCCAACTCCTCAGAACTGTTTTTGCAGCTATCATTCACACTATTAAGTTTTTCTGCCTCTTATTATAGTAATGTATTTACACTTTATCTCCTCCTAATCGAAGCTGCTTCAGAGCAGGATCTACCCTGTCATATATAAACTAGCTAAATGCCTTGGACACAGAAGTATTCTTTAAAAATTTAAGAATTAAAGTATCTATGTTTAGAAAAGCTGGAATCATACTCCGAATTTCATTTGTTTACAAGAAATATTTAATGCCCGGGTAGGTTGAGTGATAAATGTTTGTTCGATTTTAATACATTCATTAGTTACTACTGTGCTTTCACTATGTGCCAAACAGTCTTCTAGGTGCTCATGAACTTGTCTCATGGTCAGTTAGCTTACAGCAAGGGAACAGAAGTACAGGGAAGAGAACTTGACATTTTTTAAGCATCCACTGTATGCTCGTCTCTGGATCTAGTGAATGTTACTAATGGGCCAAGCTGGATAGAACCCAGATCCCCCGACACCATATGCCTCTTGTCAATCCAAAGACATCACTGCTGTGACCTCCTTTTACAGCAGTGTTCTATGGTTTGTCATCAGTAAGGCCTGAACTTCTGGGACTAGATAATTGGTTTAGTTCATTACAAATTAGAAGGCTAGCAAGGAAAAGAGAGAAGAAATGTAAATTAAGGTGTGTCTAGTTTCACAGATAAGTTCCTGCAGAAGTATTCATACAACTTTCAAAAAGCCATTGGTCTTCACTGTTTTCGATTTTGCCATCCACTTATTTTAGGCCAAAATGCCTGTTTCCACCGTGGACCTGGGAGTCAACTGTTGGCCAATTTCTGGCAGTTCTGAAGTTTGCCTTCTTGGTAGACCAGTGCCATCTAATGGTGAAAAGGCACAATCTGAAGCTCTCTCTTTCTTGAACTGGGGGAGGCTCTGCTTTTCTTCATTCTATTTTTTTAGTGTAATTTTTAGGAATATATTGCAGCGAAAACCTGGAAACAGCCTATCGTTTTTGTCTATCAAATTATATGAGATGAATTATACAGATACACTTATATTTTCCCTTATTCTAGAATATATAGTTATTAAAAAAATACATACTAATAAAATGGTAAAATATTTCAAAAAATGCTCAAGATTAAGTAAAAGAAGCTAGGAGAAGCGGTATGAATCAGGTGAAAACACTATCTAAAGCAGTCCTGTTGTGGTTGATTTTTACTGGGAAAGTGGAAAATCTTGTGATGGAAATAACTCAGTTGCTCATTTCCTGATTTAGAATCTGTTATTTCACACATGTCTCTAATGAGGGTTCGTTATTCAGTGTATGGATTAGCTGGGCTCTTTTCTTCCCTTGCCTTTGCTACTCTGTGGTTTTACACATTGGTTTTCAGAAGTGTGATCCCAGACCAGCAGCATCAGCATTACCAGGAAACTTGTTAGAAATGCACATTCTTCTACCCCACCCCGGCCCCTGAATCAGAAGCTCTCAGGTGGCGCCCAGCCATCTGCGTTTTAACAAGGTGCTTCTGATGCCACTCACTTTGGAGAACTGCTGTTAACATCCCTATTACAAATTAATCTGATTTCACTCGTATGTGGAATTTAATGAACAAACTGAACTACCAAGCTAAATAAAGACATACTCAGAGAGAACAGGCTGACAGTCGGGGGGAGGGGGCGGTTGGAGGGATTGAGCAAAAAAGAAGAAAAAGGAAAGAGCTCAGGGACACGAACAACAGTGTAGCGACTGTGGCAGGGAGGGGGTGGAGGTGGAAGAGAAGGGCATAGAGGGGGTAAATGGGGATGGAAAAAAATAAAATAAATTTTTTAAAAAAAGTTAATTGAGGGGAGAAAAGATTTAATATTTAAAAGCTTACTTTTAACACTTGTTAAAAGTATGATTAACTACCTGTCTCATTTTTTTTTAAATGGTTTAGGGGCCAAAGAAATCGACACTAAGTAAAAAAATGTTGACTTTTCGGGGCCTTCAGTTTATTTGTCTTTGTTCCTTACACCAAGGACAAAGCAGGAGCTTTCCGCGCTCATACAAAACTCAGCTTGAAGTTAGAATGTACCTGATCTAACACCTCACCCGTGTCATAGCATAACTAAATCCATATTTTAAAATGCATTGAGCCAATAAATGCTTCCAAAGAAAATATCGTCCTCTTTGAATCTAAAAGAGGTATGAGTCACCCAATATCCTATCTGTTACATTAAGATTAGCCCAGACATTGGAAGAGCAGGTGAAAAATTATGATAAATCATATAATTTACTGCAGTTAGACTTAAAGTACGTAGTTTCGCTATCTAAAATTCAAATTGAGAGTTCAAAATACTGCTTTTCTTGGCTGAGTCTTTTCTGAAGCAGCAGCTGTGAAAACAAAAATGTAATTGTTTAAATTAGCTGTTGAGTGTGGCTGCAACATAAATTATACTTCTGTGTGGGTCGTTTATAAGTTGGATTTTTGAGTTGAGATTTTAATGAATAAGTTATGATACTTAGCCATAAAATAAGAAATTTTATACTCCCTCCCGAGAAGCCGGCAGCCAGGAGGAGCTGCCATCCAGTGCCTCCTCAGCCCTCCTGGGCTCTGCTTGTTAAACTCATCAAGGTGAGTTCAGAACGGGAAATATTTCTAAAGGTGCTGACCTTGGGAACAAAGAGCACATTGATTGGTCGGACTGTTGCAGTGATGGTTCATCTTCCCTCCTGCCTGTGCCCAAGCCAAATTCTTTCCTTGCCAGTTACCAGGAAAGCCAGTTTTTACAGGATGCACAGGATTCAAGGGTAGACTTTTTTTTTTTTTACTTTTTAAAATGAGTAAATTGGGATTGTGTTTGAAGGATTTATCTGGTTCGTCTTCCAGCCTTTGGATTCAGAGACTAGAAGCTTACTTTTCCTCTTCAATCTTAAAGGCATGTTGCATGTGACATTTTTTTTATCACCAAGTTTCTTATGGGGAAAAAGTTAACAGATTTTATACTTGGGAGAAACCATAGTGGTTTCTCGTCCGGCCATCCTTCCAGTGCTTGAAGCCCTTTTACAGCAACCCTCCAGGAGGTCACCTGCACTTCCAGACCTGGAAATCTTCCAAGGGAAGTGGGAAGGAGTGGGAATGGAAGACAGAGACAGAGAATGTCACTGGTTCCATTTGTATTGCCTGTAGTATGCTACCAATTTGGAAATTTTCATAAATCCTCATGGTCCTGTGGAACTTGTAGCACGTTCATGACCCTAGTTACCACAGTAATTTCCAGTCAGAGAAACTTGGTCTAAACCAGGATTTCTCAACCTTGGCACATTGCCCTTTGGAACTAGATAATGCTTTTGGGGTGTGTGGGGGGGACTTGTGCATTGTAGACCTGCAGCATCTCTGATCTCTACCCACTAGAGGCCAGTGGCACTCACCTCCCCACCCCCACCCCCACCCCCACCTTGATTAAACAACCGGAAATGTCTCTAGATGTTACCAAATTTCCCAAGTGAGGGAGTGGGAGGTGTGCAAAATCTCCAGTTGAGAAACACTGCTTGAAGTTAAGAATGTGTTTTACAAGATACAGAGTCCCGAGGAAACATTAAATGATGTACTTTAGAAAAGAGTAGTTAAGATCTTAACTTTTTTAAATTAAATAAACAGTTCCACAATTGACAGTATGTTGGTACAGTTCTCTTGCGGTTTTGTGCAATGAATGTAGAGCAAATATTTCAGTCCATCCTCCCTTATTAAATGTATGTGAAAACAAGCTACTGCAATCGGTGCTATAAAACAAACAGAACTATTTCGTAGATTCCAAGACAACCTCACCTTTAAGATACACACAAATTTTTGTAATTTTTTAGTGTACCATACAGAAAAGTTCACATATCACAAGTGTACTGAATTACTGGATTTTCACAAACTGCACATACCCTAAAACCAGCAACTAGATTAAGAAATAAGCCCAGCCAGTGTGGTTCAGTGGTTGAGCATTGACCTATGATCCAGGAGATTGTGGTTCAATTCCTGGTCAGGGCACATGGCTGGGTTTCAGGCTGGATCCCCAGTGGGGGGCCTGCAGAAGGCAGCCAATCAGTGACTCATCATTGATGTTTCTCCCTCAATAAGATTGCCAGTACCCCAAAAGACCTGACGTCATCCCACTGGCTCACTGTCCTCTAGCAGCACCCACCTTGATGGTGCTGCTATCGTTCCCACTCCATGGCCTGGCTGTGCCCTTTGCAGGGCTCTGTCTGACTTGCCCCCTCATTCCATTCATGTCTTTATGCAGATATAACCTCTTCTGAGAGCCTCCTCACAGTCCTGAATTACTGTCTACCACCCTGTCCCTGCTTTAATTTTCTTTATAGTTCTTATCACAATCTATATTTGTCTATCTCTCCAACAAATAAGAACATTCTACTACTTAGCACATTACAGGAGCTCAGGAAATTGAAGGCATGAATGAATAAACCGCAATTCCAGAAATTTTAAGATGAGGAAAATGCAAGTCTTGGAATTGAGGTAATACCATCATAATTCTATTTACTGAGTGCCTGCTTATATGCCAGTCATTTGTAATAAAAACACATGTATTATTTTTTAATTTATATAATAACCATACCAAGTGGGCATATCAGTTAGATTGCTTTCAGTCGTAAGTAATAAAACCCAACTAAAAGTGGATTAAATAAAAAGGAATATATTTAATATTTAATAGCATAAGAAATGGATGAGATATGGGGTGGCTCCCTATTTGACCAATTCAGTAACTCCAAGATGTTATAGTTTCAGTTTGGCTTCTCTGCCATTTTGTTAACTTTCTGCTCGTGGTCACAGATAACTAGCCATTCCACAAGTCCCATCCTTGCTGAACAATCTCCAGAAGCAGGTGAAGAGAGAGGCTATGCATATACTTCTCTTCTTATCAGTGAGGATAATTTTTCCAGACTCTCCTGCTACTATCTCATTGGCCAAAATTTTCTTATACATTGTTATAGACTGAATGTTTGTGTTCCCTCAAAATTCATATGTAGAAGCCTCAACTCCCAATATGGAGATGGGGCATTTGGGAGGCAATTAGGTTTAGATGAGGTCCTGAAGTTTGGAATAATATGTATGATAAGGATACTATAAGGGAGACTAAAATAAGGCAACTAATTTATGGTCTAAATGAGCATATCTTTGAGAATAAAGGGGTTACTAACAGAGGGGATACCTGCACGACAGATGTCATCCCGGCTCTCTCGGGAAAGCATAAACAAAGGGTCACCCTAGAAACCAACACCAACCCTGTGGAGGGAGCAGCTATTAGAGAGCACGGATCTTTGATGGATCCAATCAGCCACTGGGGGCCCTCTCAAACCGTGTTGTCAGTATAGAGTCAGAATCAAAGAGAATAATAGTTATTGGCATATAGAGTTGGGAGAAAAGTGAGGCAGGATTATTAGGAGGTCAAGAGAATGAGGGATCCCTGAGTCATTGACAGCGTCTTTGGAATTGGCTGGCAATAATCTATTAGTATTGTCCAGTAGAATTGCCCACAGTGATGGATGTCTGCAGTGTCTCAAGCCACTTGCCTCATGTGGCTGTCGAGCAAATGAATTATTAATTACAAATAATTTAAGTTCAAGTGTAAATAGCCACACATGGCTACCAAATTAGAAAGTGCTGGTTTAGATTAAGACAAGAGAAAAGTGAAGGAAATGTCAAAAGGCAGGATAGGAGTTTACTGTGCAGATTTTAGGGTAGACATAACTGTGTTTAGTTCTGTGTAATGATGGAGTTCAAAATGTGACAGTGCTTAACAAGAATCAGAGAAAAAAGTTAGTGTGACCGAGGAAGGTGAGGAATGAAGTCTGAATATGGGCAGTCATGTGCATGACCTGTGAGAGTTGGGGTGGTGGGGGGCATTTCACACTAAAGGCTTTGAGAAAAGGAAAGTGGGTTCCCTGAGAACATGAGATGAACACCACAGGGTAAAGAGAAAACCATCAGGGATTGGCTAAGATTTCAACAGGAGAGCTTTTGGTTTTGGGTTTCAGATATTAGTTGTGTTCTGAGTTTCCTCGAGAAGGCATTGTGGAGCAGAAAGAGTGTAGATTCCTCTCTCTAGTCCCGGACATGGCAGGGAGGCAAAGGGGAAAAGTAAATATTGTTTCCTTTTGACAAAGGAGAATAGTGGTGGTTAAACCATTGTTTGTTTGTTTGTTTTTAATGTCTGTAATAACCTAAGATATTCATTAACAAAATATTTAAAATAAGTAAGTGATAAATTGTATTAAACAATAAGTAAATAATTTTATTTTTCAGATATGCTTTAACTTTGGAAATACACTCCACTTAGAGGTAAGGAACCAAGGGGATTACTTCTGTCTTTTGGATTCAGAGGCTTAATTTCATGGGAGACAATTTGTCTGTACCTCATCCGGATTAAAAATGTACGCTCCAGCCCGGTCAGCGTGGCTCAGTGGTTGAGCATCGAGCCATGAACCAGGAGGGAGGTCACTGTTCAATTCCCGGTTGGGGGGCATGCAAGAGGCAGCTCATCATTGATGTTTCTATCTCTCCCTCTCTCTCCCTGTCTCTGAAATCAATAAAAACATATTAAAAATGCACACTCCCTTAAACCCAGGTATTTCCACTCAGACAGCTAGCTGCACAGGAACATATATCGAGGGATGTTCATGCAGCATTTTGGAACAATCTGTCCATCAGTAGGAGCGTGGTGTAACAATTTACGGTACATGGAAGAATGTCTATGGTTAAGTACTAAAGAAAAATCAAGGTGCAGAATGGAAAGTATAGTATATTCCATTTATATAGGAAATACATGTGCAAGTGTGGTCATAAGAAAAGGTCATAAAATATATTCATTCATCCGGTTGCTAACAGTGAATACACTGAAGTATGAGTGAAAATGTAGAAGGAAATTTACATTTTTACATTGTAAGCTTTAATGTTATTTAATGTTTTGTTAAATAATTTAATTTTTTAAGATATAAAAGAATTTTTCAACTAAAAGCAAAGAAAAAAATCAGTGACCTAGTGATAAGCAGTGTAAATATTTCTAAATAAAATACATGTTATGTAAGGCTACAGAATGAGCAAAATGAGAAACCTAGTAGAATAATCATTTCTGATCTTAAGATACCAGGTCAGCTGTATTGAAATTATCCTTGGATAAAATCTATATTATCTGTTAAAGCACAATTGAAAATTTATAGAATCATTTTCCACCTAAAGGTTCTACAAACAAAAGATGGGCAGTTTAATCCTTAATCCAATCATTAAAACAATAAATTCATTAACTGACACTTTCACTAGTTTTAGTCAAATTGATATCAATAGGTTATGAAGATTTAATTTTAAAACATTTAGTAATTCTTTTTAAAAATATAAACCACCACAGAAAAATTGAACTTCATTTTCAGTTAGTAAGAAAAAAAAAAGTCTCATGTTAACTTTAATTTGCTTATTTGTAAGGTCACTGAATTATTCTTTAACCTTTTAAACTCTTCACTCTGGTAAATCTTTTCTTACTGATAAAAACTAAACCCTACTGCTGTACTGGCTTAGAGAGAATCTATTGAACTCCTATAGAATTTGCTGGAGTGTATACATTTCCTCTTTGAAAATGAAGCCTTTTAATAAATGTGAAATTTGCACAGCTATCTTGAAAGTTTTAGTAAATTACATGATACCATACTCATGTCTTAGGGCACTTAATAATTTTTTGGCAATATTTTATTGTTGTAGGCCTTAAACACAAGAAATGAAAATAAGCTACTTCCTAAACACACTCACTTAGTGCGGCAAAAGCGTGCCTGGATCACTGCCCCTGTGGCTCTTCGGGAAGGAGAGGATCTGTCCAAAAAGAATCCGATTGCCAAGGTACCTTCTAAAGAGGAACAAAAAATATATGCTTATTACTAAAATGTGGTGGGAAGAGACTTTTGTGTTTACTTTTAAATTTAAGGAAAATGATATAGTGTACTTAATGTTTTTTTTAATATTGCAGATGTATTTGAAAATTAGCAAAGCTTAATTTTTAGCAGAAACTCCTAACTTTAAGATTCTCTTTCCCATTCTAGAAGATGCAAGATCATTGGTGAAGATATATATATATAATTTGGGGCTTTGATTCAACTAAGAGTTAAGGGATTTAGCACCAGTTGAATCTTTGTATACAGTGTTAGAATAATCAAACAAAGATATTATCACATGCAAGGGAGAGAAAGAAAGTCTTTTTCCAGCTACCTTCCTAGGTTCTCTGACTAGGGCCCTGGTGGACTAACAAAAGAAAGATTAACAAGAGAAAAACAATCAAGTTTATTAACGTGTATATTATACATGTAACACATGGGAATATCCAGAGATGAGTAACTCAGAGGTTTGGTTAGAATTTGGGCTTATATAGTTTCTTAGGAAGGGAACAATAAATTTTTTAAGAAGTGATAAGGCAAAGGAAAGGGACCTTAAATTTGTAGGGGCAGCAAATTGTGGGAAGGCAAATATATAGTAAACTAATGGTAAAAAAAGATTAGTTAGTAAAGTTTGTTATATGGATTTTTGGCACCATCTCCAAACTGATAAGAGTCTAAAGTTGGTGACAATTAAAATTTGTCCTTGGTAGAGAGGGGAGAGATCACCTTTACAAATTTATGTCTTGCTTTTAGACAAATAGGAGGAAGGCAGGGAGCTTTTTTATATCTGCTTCTTCTCAATTGCCTCAGCTCAAAATAAACCTATCCCAAAGTGGCATATTTCGGGGTGGCATTTCCTGCCACCTACACATGAAGAGTAATTTTCAAAGTGAAAAAAACTGATACCTAATAGATAGTGTGGCCATATATCCTGCTTGAAGTAGTCCTCATTTATGCCCGTTGTCCTGGCTCAATAATTAATAACTCCCTTTTTACTCTCAGATTGTTCTATTTTTTGATAAATTATATGGTGATATCTCATGTGCAAACCTCAACCCTTGATTCTCCCCTAAAGGTGTTCTCCATAAATTCTGCTCATTGCAGTAAATAGCACTATAATTCCATCCAGTTTTTCAAAAATATAGCAAATATTACCAGTTTTATCCCCAAAATATATTCCAGATCTGCCCACTTCTCTCCACTGCCACCCCACCCCACCAGTCCAAGTCAGTGTGATCTCTGACCTGTGTTACCAAAAGAGCCCTGACTTTATTACCCTGCTCTCATTCTTGCCACCCCTGACCCCAACCCCTGACCCCCACCACAGTTCATTCTCCCAAAAGCAGCTAAAGTGGTCAGTGATCCTTTGGAAAGATAAATCAAAGCATGTTCCCCTCTTAGTGAGGCCCTTTCAATGGCTTCCTGCTGCAGTGAAAGGAATAAACTCTTTCCCCCGGCCTACAGAGCACTTGGGATTTATTGGCCTTGGCCTCCTCCTCTGTGACCTCAGCTCCTATCCGCCCCCATGCGCCTGTCTGCTACATACCTAAACTGATACATGTTCATTCCTGCTCCCTCTGCTTGGAATCCCCTCCCCACAGACATCTGCAGTATCTCTCTGCATGAAGCCCAAGTGTCACCTCCTAAGAGTTCCCTTCCCTGCCTCACCACATCTCTCTGTCCCGTCACCATTTCAGCTTGGTTTACGGCGCAGTCATATCCAGGTTTTACTTCATCTTTCCAATCTTACACACGTCATACACGAAGAGCTCCTTAAACGAAGGAGCAGCTACGTAACAGAGGACAGCAATTTCCATTTTCCAGCAGCAGGTTGTTTTTATGAGAGCCTTCTAAAATCCAGATTTTTAATCATGGCTTTACATCATAGTATGTGTATAAGCAATTAAGTTTTTTGGTTTGGTTTGGTTTTCTGAGATATCTGAGTCATTCACACACTCTTTCACGAGGTTTACGTAAAATGCATTGATTCTTTGGGGTTCAATATACAATAACTGTTCTTCCTTCTAATTTTAATTACACAAGTTGTTAAGAGTAAAATTTACGTAAGAAGCAAAAAGTCTTGTTAAATTTCCCCAACTTTCCAAATTATCCATCTAGAGGTAACATTGACAACAATTTAGTATGTTCTAGATCTTAGGAAATTCATAAGAATGTGTATACTTACATACTCTAATGTGCATACATCACACAGTTTTGTTTTATTTTTAACATCAGTGAAATTATATAATATTATCAGTACATAAAAATATAGAATATTCTTTATAAATAATTTTGTATATATACACACACATACACATATGTATTAATGTACATACCTGACCAAAAAAAAAGAGGGGGAAACAGAAGCACAAAGAAAGAGAAAGAGAAACAGGTGGACAGACGCAGAAGCTCAGTGGAAAGGACTCATGGGACTGCTCCGGTTCACCTTTCCACCCCAGAAGCAGAGCGGGTGTAGCAGGAGGCTGGAAACCCCACCTGCTGTGCCCTTGTCATTTTCAGCAGCAACCCCCCAGCCCCAGTGCATGTTGGGAGACCTATGGGGAAGAAAGTGTAATCCCAAGGTTTCAAGACAAAGAACGGACCAGGCAGGTGGGTGATGAAGGGTTCATTGATGTCTGAAGGAGGAAATTGCCTTCTTCATACTTTCCAGAGGACAAGTAGATTTAAGAAGGTAATTTTGACCCTGCAATTTTTATCTTCTGTGCTAAATGTAAAATATACCCTCCAAGAATATCTTAACTTCATAGCAACCCTAAGAGGTAGGCAATAGTATCTCTACTTTACAGATAAGAACACTGAGGCACAGAGAGGTTAAGGAACTTAGTATCATGTAACTAGAGAGTGGCCGAGTCAGGATTAGAACCCAGGTTCTCTGACTCCAGCACCTGCTCTTGAGCAATTGTGTTTTCCTATCTTCCTCCTATCAAAATGACAACTTCAGAGGGAAATTTTCTTTCAAAAATATTTGCATGTAAGCTATAAAGAGTTTAACTTGAGGCATTTCTCTGTTATTTATATGTTAGATACATTCTGATATTGCAGAAGAAAAAGGAATAAAAGTTACATACAGATACACTGGAAAAGGGATCACAGAGCCACCTTTTGGTGTGTTTGTCTTTAATAAAGACACCGGAGAATTGAACATTACCAGCATTCTTGATCGAGAAGAAACACCATTTTTTCTGGTAAGAAGAACAATTTTATATTTATTAGTTTGAAGTTTTTCCTTTGGTAACAGTCATGGTTTGTTTTATTTTTTGATACTGTGGTAGTTTAATTACCTTAGCTTAAATCTAATCTATTATTTATGCCATGATTTCAGCTCACTGGTTATGCTTTGGATGAAAGAGGAAACAATCTGGAGAAACCATTAGAACTCCGCATTAAAGTTCTTGATATCAATGACAACGAGCCAGTGTTCACGCAGGATGTCTTTGTCGGGTCCGTTGAAGAGCTCAGTGTAGCCCGTAAGTCTATTATTTTTATGAATGAATACTCGGAGTCATTTTAACCTCACTGTGTGACTGAACACAAACTCCCGTGTCTTAGTGGAGGCTGAGTATTAACCACAGGACAAATAGTAACAAACCTATTGCTGTAGGTTGGGAACTGGGGTTTTTTTTGTGATAAGTTCAAAAGACTTTAAATGACATATGGTTAGATCTGTGTATCAGCTTTTCTGCCTTATAGCAGAAAAGCGGCCATAGAAAGTTTGTAAATAAATGGGCATGGCTGTGTTCCAATAAAACTGCATTTTATAAGAACTGGTGGCTGGCTGGCTTTGCCCAGTGGCAGTAGTTTGCTGCCCTTTGACTCTCATCATTTCTATTGTCAGGTTTATTGGCAACGTCCAATACAATGTTCTACATGAACACTTGCGGGAGAGATTTCTCTTTGATCAGAGTGTGAATAGCTGTGCTTCTCCTGAATTGTTTGTATTTTAATAAGCATCTATTTCTACCTGTTCATTCTTCTTTCTTTATTAGAACTATTATAATACATTCGTGGCCTTCCTATAGCAAGTGTTCGGGACTTCACCCTAACCTTTTACTATCCTTGGCCCTGCCCTCATCTTGTTTTTCTTACTCCTGTAACGCATTCGAACTTGTCTCTCATCCAGTTCAGTTTTTTGATCTTGGTAAACTGTGATCTTGATAAGCACCTGAAATCCTTTTTGGAACAAACTGAAATGACACGTAAAATAACACATGTGCGTGTGCTTAAAGTTGTGTTTCATTTTGGACATCTTTGTTCCTAATGCCAGATACACTGGTCATGAAAATCACCGCAACGGATGCAGATGAGCCCAATACTATGAATTCCAAAATTTCCTACCGAATCGTATCTCAGGAGCCTGCTTATCCTCCGGTGTTCTACCTGAATAAAGATACAGGAGAGATTTATACAACCAGCATCGCCCTGGACAGAGAGGTAAATTAATATTTTATGTTGCTCACCTTTTAATCTCTCCTTTACTCTTTCAGGTTCTCCTCTCTATTTCTTTTTCCAATTTGCCTACTTTGTTATATATTTCTAATTCATAGGATAACTTAGAATTATCCCCTTCTAGGGATGTTCTGTCCAGTATGATAGCCATTAGCCATACGTGGCCATTGAGCACTTGAAATGTTGACTAGTCCAAATTTTAGATGTGCTATAAATGTAAAATCGACTAAATTGGGAAGACTTAGTATGAAAAAAAAAAGAATGTAAAATGCCATCTTATAATTTTTTGTTGATTACATGTTGAAATAATATTTGGGATACCATGGGATAAATAAAATATATTCTAAAAATTAACATCACCAGTGGGTTTTTTTCCTTTTTAAATGTGGTTGCTAGAAAGTTTAAAATTTTAAAGATCATCACTGTTCCAGGGCCTCTCCAGTCAGGACTTTGTTTGCTAGAGAGCTCTAAAGCAATGTTCCTTAATTTGTAGCTCTGTAATGAAACACCAGGAGTCTCCTCTACTACTAATAGATATACAGAGGAAAGCAAAAAGGTAGAAATAGCAGCCCTATTTGGGTAATAGAACTATTTTTAAAGGAAAGAATTATTGTAAATCCCAAATTGGAGGAAAGTTTGAGTAGGTTTCTTAGAAAGGTGATTCAAACATTTCATGGTTTTATTTCTAACTCAGTGGGAAAATGTTAGAAGAAAAAGGGACATAGAAGATTTACAAATGCTACATACATGAAGATTTTAACAATGTACATGAGAAAAACACTGATGATCCTAAGAACACTACTGTTATCAAATATAAATTATCATCCAAGTGCAGTCAGAATATTTTATGTTACTTATGATTTTACTCTGCCCAGAGAGGGAGAGGGTTGCACCCTGCATTCTTATTGAGATCTCTATAGAATTAAAGAATTTTATTACTCTTAAAATTCTACTCCGTACCTTTTCACATAAAATTAGAATGGAAAAGTATTATTTTGAAGTAGTGTGATGTTTTTAGTAAGTTGCTGTCTCTGAAGTATAGGAAGTTTAGCCAATAATAATGGCGGTCACTTATTGGACATTAACCATGTGCCGGGTGCTATTCCATGCATTTTACATAGATTAACCCATTAAATCCACCTAGAAACCTTGTGTATAAAGTGTATTAGCCCCATTTTACTCAGAAGGACACCGAGGGTCAAAGGGATTGTGCATCCAACACAGCTCGTTAGTGACAACTCAGAACTAGAACCCAGGCAGCTGGCTCCAGAGCCTCTGCTCTCCTGCCTGTCACTGAGTAGCTCTGCCCCACACAGCGGCCCTAAGCGTTGGCACTGGCCGCCTTGCTCCTTAAGCTCACTCCTCCCACACTGAATGGAGACACCATAGGGAGACCATGTGGAAGAGAAGGGTTCACTTTGTTGTAACGAGATGTCATTCTCTGGGACACCTCTCAGAATCATCTCTCTCAGGATGTCCAGACAAAGGTCACTGAGTTTTGCCTTCACTCGCTAAGTTTTCTTGGGGACTGGTTTTTCTGGCTTAACTGTTAGCTAAAACTGAAGTGTGAGGCAGAAAGAACCAGTTTCTATAGTCCTGCGATCACTTCCAAGATAGAGCAAATTATTTTGAAAAGCACTCTTGTCCACAGACAATTTAAGGAGCAACTCATCTCCTGATAATATCACCAGTGACATATTTAAGAATTTCACGAATGTCACCAATGACATTTTTAAGAAACTGACTATTAACAACTCCTCCAGGCTTTTTTCCCTTTCTAGAAAAGCTCTGACAGCAAATAAATAGCTTCACACGAATAACAGTAGATCATGAAACTTGTTTATGAATAAATTATACTGTGGTTCATTTCCTTGATGATAAAATGAACTAAAACCAGAAAGACAGCTTTGGAAGCGACCTGTTTTCACTCCAGGTGGGTATCTTTCATTGCCCTGCAGGAACACAGCAGCTACACTTTGACAGTAGAAGCAAAAGACGGCATTGGACAAATAACAGATAAACCGGTCAAGCAAGCTCAAGTTCGGATTCGTATTTTGGATGTCAATGACAATATACCTGTAGTGGAAAAGCAAATGGTAACTATTATTTTTATAACAAATGTATCTACTTACTCATATTTTAGTTCTATCTAAAAATATATCACTCATGTTAGTGTTCCATTAAAATAAAAATCCTGTGTTCATGTTTTGCAGTATGAAGGGATGGTTGAAGAAAATCAAGCCAATGTAGAAATTATACGCATAAAAGTGTTCGATGCAGATGAAATAGGCTCTGATAACTGGCTGGCAAATTTCACATTTGCATCAGGAAATGAAAGGGGTTATTTCCGCATAGAAACTGATAATCAAACTAATGAAGGAATTGTGACCCTTATTAAGGTAAGTACTTACTGTTCAAACTGGAATGGGAGAAGCTGTGCAGAAGGAAACAGATATATTTTGATCTCCAAATACTTATAAGTGTTTTATATACTCAATTAACTGGCACCACAAATTTTTGAGATAGGAGTCATCCATATTAGCCCAAGTTCTGTGGTTAGTATGTGGTCACAGTGCAGTTTAAATTCAGATTAGGGAACTCTAATCCTAACCTGACAGCATGATGCCAGCATCATTACTGCTTAGCACACTTCCAGTCTTGTTTGCAGCCTGTGATATAATATCCTTATGTCATGACCTCTTGCCTCTACTCAGTGTCCCCCAACCTACTATTTCTTATTTGATCAACTTAGCAAGAAAACCAACTCTTATTAATAATGTCTAAAAACTAAAGCTGTAACAACTTGATAAAGCTCTTATCCAGTGGTCCTCATACTTGAGTGCCTAAGAATTACTTCATAAAGCTACATGCTCAAAGTGCAAATTCCTGGGCCTCATCATGAATAATCTGTGATCAAGTGGGGCTCAGGAACTTGCCCTGATAACAGAAATTCACTTGTGATTCTAATGTAGGTAGTATGAGGGCCACATTTTGAAACAGTGTTCTAACCCCTTGTGCTTCATTGAATCAGTGAAGGAAAAATTAAATTAGTCTCATTAAGCATGTGGGCCTTATCCATTTGAAACTAATTACCGCCACAGAATTTTTTAAACAAAACTTAGAGGATGAATTTTTATTTTAACAGAGTAAGGAAGAATATCAGTGTATTTTTAAATGGTTTATGATAGAATTGCCTTATCAGATTTTGAAATAAAAATACAAAGCTACAGCTTTCAAAATACTATTTCATGAAGTCACATACAGACAAAAATTAATTCTAGAAGTTTCCAAATTTTCGCAAAAACTTAATACATGACGGGGTAGAAAATAATTCTAAAAGTGAGAAGAGTAACAAGAATAATTATAAATGTATAACAGAATAGAGAAAAATTAAGTTGACATTTCATGGTAATAATTATGGGCACCATTGACCACTCTCTGTTATATGCATTTAGACTTCCATTTTCTAAAGCAGGGGAAAATAGAATAATATCACCTCTTGTTTAAAGGGAAGACACCTGTTACGATTTTTGAAGAAATGGATAATGGTGTCGGAGATGAAATAGATTTACTTGCTTATATAGAAGTAAGCATGCTTTTAGTCAGCAGTTACAGGTGCAACCATGCTAGATGCTGGAGGTGAAAAGCCTGTAGCACACGAGGAGAAACAGTCCCTTAGTGAAGAAAGAGAAATGTTGACATATTCTCAGTGTATCATGGCAACACAAAAAGGAATATAGTTATTTCTACCGAAGGGGACATGGACAAAAAATAGTAAAATTAGTAATAAAACAACAGCTACAGATTGAGAAAATTTTAAATTTACTGTCTCAGTTGTATAAAGAATTTCTTCCAAGTTATAAGGGCAATAATCAGATCCCATTGAAAAGTTAGACAAGGAAGATATACAAATAGTTAAATGGACGTAAAAAGATACTCGACATCACAGTCATTAGAAAAAAAGCAAATAAAAACTATATGAGATGCCACAGCACACTTATTAGAGTGGCTATAATAAAAAAAGATTGACAGCACCAAGTATCAAGGATATGAAGAAACTGGAATTCTTATATGTTGCTTGTGGAAACATAAAATGGCATAGCTAGTGTGTCAGTTGTTTTAAATGTTAAGCATAGAGTAGTTACCCAGTGACCCAATGATTTAGTCCTAGGTATCCACCCAAGAAAAAGAAAAACACAAAAACTTGTATGCAGATATGCATAGGAGCTTTTATTCGTAATAGTCAAAAACTGATAACAATCCAGTGTCTGTCAATGGATGAGCAGCTAAGTAAAATGTGGTATATCCATATAATGGAATACTATTGAGCAATGAAAAGGAATGAAGTACTGATACATGCTACAATATGGATGAATCTTGAAAATATTTTGTGTAAGAAACCAAACACAAAATGCTACATATTGTTTGATTTTGTTTACGTGAAATTTCTAGAAAAAGCAAAACAGTGGATATAAAAAGCAGACCAGTAGTTGCTTAGGGCTGGGGGTGTTAGTGATCATTGACTGCGGATAGGCACAAATGAACTTTTGGGGGTGATGGGAGTATTCTAAAGCTGGACAGTAGTGATATTTGCAAAACCATGCAGATGTACTGAAAATCCTCATGCTGTACACTTCACATGGAAGATGGAGGAATTTCATTGTAGGTAAATTATACTTCATTAAAACTGCCCAAAAAACAATAAAGGAGAACAGATACTTTGTGGAAATAGAGATAGTAAATTGTCACATGAAAAACAGTCTCAGCTTTGTTAACAAATGAGTTTAAAATCTTTAATATTACTAAAAATAGCAAAAATGGAAATGATAAATATGTTCACAGTTATAATAAATAGAGGTATGTGCTCTTATACATTACTCTTGATGCTGGAAATTTCTCCATTCTCCTTGGATCATTATGGCTAGGTATAGGAAACACTATGAAACAGTTCTTGTTGCCCCCATACCTAGCTTATTTATTTTTAAGGTTGTCTTGGCCTTCCATGTTCTTTGAATACTAATGACATTAGGCTGGAATACTTAATTTCTCATCCAGCATACATCATGCCATCAAAACAAGCATGCCACATGCAAGAGCAACTGAAAAAAAAAAAAAAAAAAAAAAAACC